ATACTATACATGAAGTCCTCCACCCCCGGACGTTTCCGCCATCCTTGGTTTGGGGGTGTGACAAAATCCGCATTATGTTAGAATTTATAACCATATTAAAATAACCAAATTGAAATACACTATAATTATAAGGGAACTTACTTTATGTTGATCAGAAATGACAACAAAATCCGCACCAGTGCCAAGGTCAAGATCATCCTTCAGAACTCCAGAAACCAGGTCCAGTTATCCTTGTTTTCCACATCAACAGCAACCAAAGCTATTTGGATCACTTGGTTATTAGCATCTCTTCATATGGATGTGAGTAATTCACCTTTAACCTGACCCTTTAAGAAGCCTCCATCCAACCATATAGCCCTCCTACACCCTATTTTCCAGCAAACACTTAAAGATTTGAAACAAATGTAAAACCTTTGAAAACAATTCTTCTCATTTGGATTGGTAGTAACGCTAACTTTTCATGTAGACCCAAGGTTTGATCTCAACAACTCTTGGGCGTAATCCCAAATTATTGCATAGTGTTCAGCTAATTTACCCTCAATCAGTTCCTTTGCCCACATTTTTTCCCTTCTAACCTGTTTTATAGATACCATACATCTATACTTTTGTTTGATGTCACTGATCATCTCACTGAATTTAACTTTGGGCTTATTTGCTATCTCAATAACATAGTGTCATCCAATCCATTCTTGGGTAACAATAAACCCAACTTTAAACACTATATAACAAAGTTGCATAAAATTCATTTCTTTAACCTAGAAGGTTCTTTCATTGTACATCCAAGCTGTATAAATTCTGAATGGGCACTTATCTTCATTTCTCTTACTACATCTTGTAACAATTCTTCTATTGTCACTCTTTTGAAAGTATATCTCGTACCCTCCATTTACAGCATAGTTTGTCACACAAAAGTTTAATTGTGTAGGTGATTCGAACACATCCCCTAACTTAGGTTCCATGTTATCCACCTAAAGTTTGGATCATGTAGTGTGTAGTTGTTCGTCACTACTTCCTTTGCTCCTCATCGCTTTGTAAATCATTACCATGATACACTCGAGCTTTCACTTCATCAGTCATACTTGAATTTCTAATGTTCTCATCATTAAGTAGAATGTTAAGAAATAGATCCTTACATTTATCAAGCCTTGATACAAACTCTTGCTCTGGTTCATGATCCATGTAAATCTCGTGCAGCTCGAAATCCATCTCATTTTACCTATAAAATGGTTCGTAAATTCCAGCAAATGGGTCGTCGTAACCATCGTCTGAAGAACCCATTTCTAACTCCTGCACAATCACAACCATTATCAGGAAAAGAAAGAAGTTAACGAAGGTGATTGTAACTATTTTTTCTTGTAAAAACCATGATCAAGGACCGTAATTTCTTACTTATTCGAAACCCTCTTATGAGAACAATGCTTCAAAACCCTAGCTTCCGACAACGAAAATGCTTGAAAACCCTAATAGCTTCCTTCACTAGATAGAGTTTAACGTTTGAGTTCCTACTACCTTCGTCAGAACAAGTAGGATCATGTTTTTTTTAAATGTAAAATTGAGGGCTTTTATAAAAATACCAGGGAGTGCAATATCTATGTTTACGACATCGTTTGGATGTAATTCACTTTCCGCGTTTGTGGTACTACCAGACTTCCACCACTCGCTCAACTATCAGTTACCTGCAAAACCCTAACAAACCCTTCGGTTGTTTAACGTACCAAGACCCAGAGCACTTCGCCCGGCGATGGAAGAGACGGCGACGGACCTTATAGTCGGAGAACCACCGAAGATTCCGACTGAGCCACCTCAACTGCCTCGAAAATCGGTGCTTGATATGTCAGCGGACGAGCTGGTGGCGAAATCTATAGTTCCGGTGAAGAAGGAATATATTTGTCCTGTACCTATCAGACTTGGTAGTGATAACAATGGACCATCAGGCGACGCTGTTCCTGCCTCCACCACCGCCTCTGCACGACCTGTTAGTAAGGAGAAAAAATCGAAAAGACAGCTCAAGAGAGAACGAAATCAGGTACTTATCTGTGTTTATGCTCATCATTTAGATTTGAAAATGTCGTTTTTAAGGGATATAGTTCTTAACCCTCATCAACTGATACATGTAATTCAACTTACAGGAAAAGCAATCAACACGTAATCTCTGTCCTATGGTTGCTAAGACAGGAAAAGCAGATTCATGTCCCTATAATGATAAGTGTCGTTTTAGCCATGACATAGAAGCATTTAAGGATCAGGTAGAAAGTGATAACAATTCTGTAGTCATTTAACTTTTTATTTTTTCATGACATGGGAGACATTCTAAAATGCAGAAACCTGCTGATTTGGAAGGCAACTGCCCATTTGATGGTGATGAAGGTCCATGCCCCTATGGATTAGGTTGTAGATTTTTAGGTACACATACAATTACTGATGTTGCTAGTGGAATCTCAAATGGCAATAAAAACTCTGAAATCAATGGACTGAAGAAAGATGTCCAAAGGCTATTGTGGAAGAACAAAATGAAGTTCCCTAAGGCAGATGCTGAACTCAAAGTCCTTGGTTTAATGGTATGAACGAATAACAATTAACACCCTTCATATCATCTGAATTGCTAACCTACATGCTATTTAACAAAAAGGCTATTGTGTTCCATTTTGTTTGAAATCTAGGGCCCAACAAAATCAAAAAAGACACCCTCGAGTAATAACGAAGAAGAAAATCAAACAGTTTCAAATGATTCTCATGTCACAAATGAGAATGGTTGTTGTGAAATGAACGAGTGCTCTCTAGAAGCTACTGAGAAAGCTGAAGGAAATAATAGTGGTGATGATCCTCGACCCCAAAAGAGAGGAAAACCATTAAATGATCAAACTTCTGAAGTCATTGGTGAAATTAACGGTTTGTTTTTTCATCTGTAGGCTTCTCTTAATCCCCGTTTGTTACACAACATACGACTGTGTTTGACATGCATTGAACTGACAATGACAATGACACTGACACTGATAGATTATACATTTTCTTTGTATCTTGTGATAGGTTCAAGTTATGAGGTGAAAGATGTAGACACAAGTGGTGAGCAATTAGAATCAAATCCAACTACTGACCAAATAGAATCTGATAAAACCCTAAAGTTACACCCACGTGAAAAGAAACTAATTGATTTTAAAGATAAGCTATACCTTGCACCTTTAACAACAGTTGGGAACCTTCCTTTTCGAAGGGTTTGCAAAGCATTAGGTGCTGACATCACATGTGGCGAAATGGCAATGTGCACAAATCTTCTACAGGTTTCTAATGTTCTACAAACTACAATGGCATAAAATCTGAAATTCTTAATGTATTTTTATTTGTGACCAGGGTCAGGCTGCAGAGTGGGCCCTATTAAGGCGCCATGTGTCGGAAGATATATTTGGAGTACAAATATGTGGGGCCTATCCTGACACTGTTGCTCGAGCTTGTGAACTAATTGAACAGGAATGCAGAGTGGATTTCATTGATATTAATATGGGATGTCCAATCGATCTTGTGGTTAACAAAGGTGCTGGATCAGCTCTTCTTTCAAAACCAATGCGTATGAAAAATGTGATTCAAGCAGCTTCTTCTACAGTAGATATTCCAATAACTATAAAGGTTAGGCATTTTGTTAATTAGGGTTAATCTCAAAAAGACGTTATATTTTGTATATTTTTTTTTCGGATTAAACCTCAAATTTATTTTTTTGCCTGAAAAAGACCTTGTATTTTTCATTTTTTCCAAAAAAGCCCTCAACTTTGTATTTTTTTCCAAAAAAAACCTTCAACCTTCTAAATGCTTCCAAATAAACCATCAACTTTTTTAGTTTTTCTCGAAAAAACCTTCACATTTTACAATTACAAAGGGTTAATCTCAAAAAAGACTTTATATTTTATTTTTGTTTTTGTTTTTGTTTGTTTTTTTCCGGAGTAAACCTCAAATTTAGTTTTTGCCTGAAAAAGACCTTGTATTTTCTCTTGTTTTTTTTTTTTTTTTCTGAAAAAGCCCTTAACTTTTTATTTTTTTTCCAAAAAGAACCCTCAACCTTCTAAATGCTTCCAAATAAACCATCAACTTTTTTACTTTTTCTCAAAAAAACCCTCACATTTTACAATTACAAAGGGTTAATCTCAAAAAAGACCTTATATTTTGTATTTTTTTTTTCGGATTAAACCTTAAATTTATTTTTTGCCTGAAAAAGACCTTGTGTGGGTTTTTTCGAAAAAAACAAAAAAGGTTGAGGGTTTATTTGGAAGCATTTAGAAGGTTGAGAGGTTTTTTTTGGAAAAAAAAATACAAGAACTTTTTCAGGTAAAAAATAAATTTTGGTTTAATCCGGAAAAAACATAAAATATAAGTCCTTTTTTGAGATTAACCCTATTAACTAAATAGAAAAACATTACCGGATCGATAATTTATTTATTTATATATTTTTTATGTGGTTCAAAGGCACGAACAAGTTACTATGAGGGAAGAAGCCGGATCGATTCTGTAATAGCTAATGTTGCCGAATGGGGAGCGAGTGCACTTACTATACATGGTAGGTCCCGCCAGCAGCGTTACACAAAGCAACCCGATTGGGACTATGTTTACGAATGTACGAAAAAGGCCCCTCAATCTTTGCAAGTTCTCGGAAATGGCGACATATTTTCGTTTTCTGACTGGAAGACTCACAAATCCGATTGCCCTCAGCTTTCCTCTTGCATGATTGCTCGTGGCGCTTTAGTTAAGGTCTGTTCTGTTATGTACCCATTTCAACTTTTTGGTGTGAAAAGACGTAAATACCCTTACGTTATGTTTTTTGTAATTTGTATGTTTGTAGCCATGGCTTTTCACTGAAATTAAAGAGCAGCGTGACTGGGACATAAGTTCGGGTGAACGGTTGGATATTTTTAAAGATTATGTTCGTTTTGGACTCCAACACTGGGGTTCCGACACTAAAGGTATCATTGTACTTTTCACCTTTTTTAATTTTTTTTTTTTTTTTTTATAAAAATAGTTTTTGAAATTTACAGGTGTGGAGACAACGAGGCACTTCTTACTAGAATGGCTTAGTTACACATACAGATATGTTCCATTTGGGTTGTTGGAAGTGATTCCTCAGAAGCTTAACTGGCGTCCACCTGCTTACTTTGGGCGTGATGATCTCGAGACATTAATGGCTTCTGAATCTGCAGCCGATTGGGTACCAACTTTTATTGCATGGGTTACAAGTTCATTTGTCAATGTAATATAATTTATTATAATTTTTTTTTTGTGCAGATTAAAATCTCGGAGATGTTGCTTGGTAAGGTTCCGGATGGGTTTGTGTTTTCACCGAAACACAAATCAAACGCTTTTGATAAAGCTGAAAATGGATGATTTTGGTTTTTTATGGTTGGAAATAAATAGTCACAATTTTGAGGAAATGCAAAAGTGACTATTATTATTATTATTGAAATTGGTCAAATTGCATACTCAGTTAAGAGTTACTTTACTAACATGTTTTTTTTTGTGAGAGGAGAAAAGCTACTTCAAAACTATGGAAATTTCGAACTTGTTTATGTTTGGCTGGTTTGAGTTTCGAGCTTTAACTGATATACTATTTAGTTATATTATAAATTATAAAATAAAAGGTGAAAATACAATTTTTTTTTTTGAATACATAATGATTTTAACCAAAATACGGTTATTAGTAAAAACTATATGTGAAAGCTTATTATTAGAAATCAAAATATTGTTTAATTAAACAATTAAAATCTTGAAATTTTTTGATATGTGTGCATCTTGGATGGATTCCTGATTAGAAAACCTATGTAGCATGACAGATAGAAGATTGTTAGGCTTGTCCCAAAAACAAAGCTCAAATGATAAAGCTAGATTGAATGAGTTGACAGTGAAGTCTTCATGAGAGAGAGGGAGGGAGGTTATACTAATGATAATCCCTTTATGATCTTAAACCTTTAGTTGTATATGATCTTGAGTTGATTGCAGAAAACAGGCTGTTGTCTTCCTTTGAAAAATCATCTTGACAAACTTGGAAAAGGAGGGTGTTAGAAATTGAATCGATTAATAGACTTGATTTGAAACATAAATAAAGATTGAGGTGGGAGGTAGATGGTGACCACTGACCAGAATACAAGGGTTTTCCATGGGATTGTAAACAACAAAAGAAAGAATGAGATTAGTGGGCTTATCATTAATGGGATATGGGTGAATGAGCCTTCTAAAATAAAACATGAGGTCTGGGATTTCTTTTCAAAAAAAATTGATGAACACTTATATAACCGTCCAAAGTTAATTAATAATAGATTGAAAAGGTTATCGGATTCAGACATAAACTCTCTTACCACGTCTTTCTTTGAATTGGAAATTAAGGATGCTATTTGGTGTTGCGGAAATGATAAAGCACCGGTCCAGACGGTTTCACTTTTAAGTTTCTAAAACACTACTAGGATGTCTCGACTCGGCTAATTTGGCGCTCTTAGCAAAATGGTGGTGGAGATTAAAAAACAAGTATAATTCCTTTTGGTTCTCTTTGTATCAAGTCAATTCATAATTTAAAGCTTATTGATGGTAGACCGATTGCTAAGAAGTCTATCAAAGGTGTTTGGCTGAATATCTCACAAATTGAAGGTGAATTTGAGAATATGGGTATTCGGTTTGCTGATCTTTTTAAAAGGGTGGTTGGAAAACGAAATATTACTTTCTTTTGGAAGGATCGTTGGTGTGGTAATGCTGCCTTCAAAGATGTTTTTCCTAATATTTATGCTATTGAAAAAAAGAAAGATTTTGTTGTGTGGATGAGAGAGTAAACATTGTTAATGGTCAAATCTTTAATTACTCATGGGATTGGTGGAAGGGAAACCCAACAGTTTTTGACTTAATTGGATCAATTGGCTGATTTTCGGTTTGCTACTGGAGGTGACAGATGGATTTGGGGAGGTGCTGAGGGTGATGTCTTCTCTGTTAGCAACATTAGGAGCCTGTTAACAAAGCATTCAAACAGGGGCGGCAGCATGGAGATTTTTAAATGGGTCAAATACCCCTTTAAAAGTCAATTGTTTTGTTTGGAGGTTAATTCAAAACAGGATTCCGACATTTTTGAACCTTCAAAAGCGTGGTATTGCTTTGTCTTCCTCCATTTGTCCTTTCTGTCAAGAAGTTGAGGAGTGTGTAGATCATGTTTTCTTCTCCTGTTCTAGTTTTGCTTTGGTTCTTTGGAATTGGTTGGCGAGATGGTCTACTCTTCTTGTTAGGCTGCCGAACTCATGTGATGACTTGATGGAGCTTCTCAAATCAACTACTGGAAGTAAAAAGATGATGAAGCTGATGTCTTTAGTTTACACGACTCTTTGGTTGATTTGGAAGGCGAGGAATGCTTGGATTTTCACAAATGAAAGGCGGACGATCATGTTTACGGCTGATGATATTAGTTTAATTATTTTTAATTGGATTACAAATATGTCTAATTGTAATTTTTTAAGTTGGCATGCTTGGAACTCCTCGCCTATGTTAGACTGTTTCTTGTAATTAGACACAAGTTTGTCGCTTGTGCCTTTCTGTTTTTTCTCTTGTTTTAATAATATTATGTCCGCCGTTCAAAAAAAAATATCACAATCATCTTGTTTTTTTTTTGTAATTAATATGTTTTTTTTGTTTTGTTTTGTAACAAACGATTCATGCTCAAGAAGTTAGAGTTGTTTCTATATCGACATCTTAATCAACATCAAGTTATAATATATATTGTACACCCAAGACCTTACGAACAAATTTGGATGCGATTATTTTAGTAGGATCTTCCGATCCCGATCTGATCTTACTATCACAATCTTGCAAAACATAAAAAGATCTTGGATAAGATCCAAATTTTGACAACATTTTTATTATTATATTCTATAATGGCCTTAAAAAAAATTCGAGGAATATGAATCAAAAAATTACAAAAAAAAATAATCTTATGTCGATATTGGCTGATTTCATTAGAAAATCATGCGATTCCTTTTTCGATTTCCATCATTCCAAATACTTCGTGACTATCAATATTAATCATTTAATGTTTTTATTTCAAACATACCATTATATTATTATAATGTTTTATATTAGACTAAACTGCACAAATGGTCCATGTGGTTTGCTCAAAATTGTCACTTTGGTCCAAAAAAGTTTGGACTAGCATCAAAGGTCCAAAGTTTTCATTTTGTTGCTTGTTTGGTCCAATCAATTCTGATTTTTTTCAAAATGACGGATTTACCCCTGTTAATATGATTTTCTCTTTTTTCTTAATTGTTTTTCTGATTTTCAGATTTAAAAAAAATAAAATGAAATCTCTCTCTCTCTCTCTCTCTCTCTCTCTCTCTCTCTCTCTCTCTCTC